GAACTAATTTACATAATTAGTCCCTATTAATTTAATTAGTCTCTTTTGATCACTAAATTAGTTCCAAATTAATTCATGATCAATACTAATTAAATCATATGATTTCATATTAATATATTAGAACTTATAATATATTAATAAATCATAACTAACCTCTTCTCAAAGTGCGTCCTATCAAATTGTCGTGGTGATATGCAACCCAAATAGACCATGCTACTATCGGGCTAAGTACATACCAATTATAGTTATGGGCTTAGACATCTAATCGAACAGTCTCCCACTTGGATAAGTCTAATAACTATTATTGCAAGTAGGACTCCACAACCCGACTAGCAATTGTAGCTCTTAAAAGCCGTTGTTGAACTCTGACCTAGTTAATGACGCATGCATTAGATAAGGGATCATATATTCCTCCATTCTAGATATCGTATGGACATGAGACATGGATTATAATCATTTCTCTATGTCGATCTGTTTTTTCGCAATTTCCAATTTACGACGACCGACTAATTGAACAAATCAAATCAATCTAGGCTTGACTAAGCACTTAGGGTTTTCATCACTACATCATCGAGGGGCCCACATATATCGTTTTTATCCCTCTAAGGGTAAAAGGAATGGATAAACTTTAACTCAAATGCTTGCTTGTACTTACTCATCATATCACACACAACAATATGTTTTATAACACCAAGTTACTGGTGAGTTTACATAAGTCAATGTGGAACCGACTTGTAAGCTACAACTCACATGTCTTGGTGTCAAGAATATAAGATATTGTCATCTCACAATCACTCGTGATAAAATCCATGAAGTGATTCAGATGAGCGTGGGTTTAATCTAATACTCGAATCTTATTCCAGGAGTACTCATGAACACTGCATCAAACTTATGATATGTCTAAAACACCTAGACAATCTACAGTCAGATTCATGACAGTCCTGCCTCAATACCTACTTCCAAAGTATGATCGATTGTGGATAGTTTGAATAATCTAGTTATTTGGGATGTCAAAACATGCAAAGTGAAACACAAGAACAAAGGAATCTAATATCGTCTCAGAACTTATGAATATAAACAAAACACCTTTTATTTAATCACCATATTGATTACGCATTATTCATTGTATAATGTTTCGATTAATCAACTTAATACTTGAATTAAAACAACAGTTATGCCATACTCCGAGCATGCACATTGTGTTTGCCTATGGTCCTTTCTTTGTGAAATAGATCAATTGAAAGCATTTCAATGACACTCATTTCACAATTCCAAATCCTTACCGTAAATGTAAGAATACATAATTCTTGCCATTTACTGTAATCTGTGAGATTCTAAACTTATATGCAATGATCCTCTTGTAATGACTATGCACAAAAGTCACAGAGACTTGGCAAC